GATGGGTGGGTAGGTGGATGGATGGGTAGATGGATGGATGGATGGGTGGGTGGATGGATGGATGGGTGGGTGGATGAAGGTTGACTGGCCCCTGTGCTTATACTAGAGACCTTTCAGACTCTGGCCTAGGGGAGAGGAAAGGCCTGTTGAGGTGCATTGCAGTAAGATACTGCTTCTAATGTATGATCATTGCAGGTGGTTCCTAATGTTACTTACCAGTGCATGGACCTGAATCTCTACAAAATCCCTGATAACATCCCCACATCAACAAAGAACCTGGACCTGAGTTTTAACCCCCTGAATCGTTTAGGCAGTCATACCTTCTCCAGATTCTCAGAACTGCAGACGCTGGATTTATCCAGGTAATGAATGAGCTTTTAGACACTGCACAAGGTAAAATGTTCATTGTTCCTATCATTTCATTCACTTATTCATTCATTCCATAGATGTCTCACTTGCTATATAACTTTGGGTAAGTCACCTGCCATCTCAGAGATAAAATCTGTGAAATGAATAGTTAGGCAAGAGACACTTTCTGAAGGAAATCTTATCTTTGAATTTTCTTTTAAGTCAGGAGAGAAAAAATTGACTCAAACTCTTTCATCAGCAGATAGTATGGACTGATTACTTGCTATATATTGTACACCCTGCTGGGAAACAAGAGTATATTGATATATAGCATCCAACCTCAGCTATCAAGGAGGGCATATCTACTTGAAAGAGTTAACGTGTTCAAATCCTGAGCATGGTGCTGGGCACATAATAGACATTCAACAAATATCACTGATTTGGATTTTGGATTTTGAACCTGAGATAAGAATAGTAATATATAATAGTAGGTGATACACTATGTGCAAACTAGAAGCAACACACTGTATTTTTTCAGAAGAGGGGTCTTTTCTGCCGTGGGGAGTCAAGACAGATTTCTTGAACTGAGTGGGTTTCAAATGATGTCTCGAATATTGACAGTGAAGTAGAGGATAGGGAATTAGGAAGATATAAGTAACCCAAGGAGAAAGATGGCAAGATCAAAGGGGAACATCTGCTGTGGGCAGTGAACAGTGACCGTACTTTTCCTTTCTGATGCAGGGAGTGTCATTCATTGGGACGAGTTACGTTATTATCATTATTGGGGAGGGGGGGGCACTGAATATTAAGATTAGTTAGGGGCCTGATTAAAAAACAATGAACTATATTTAGCTAGTGGACTAGATGATGAACCATATTGTCTGAAACAGTTTGTGAAAAGTAGAGAAACATTTCATATATGGCTTCTTACTGTGGAAAGTCCTAATAAAGACTAACAGATCATGAGCAAGCACTCCTCTAGAGTAGATGCTTCTGTAAGAGAGTGAGCATATGATGTTTCACTCTAACTCGGATACTGAGAGAGTGTAACAGAGGAAGAATGGGGCATTTTAAAGGCAGTGGTATAGTTTATAGAGCCCTGTAGGGGCAGAAGACCTCAGCCAGGCCCTCTGCCAACCCCGACAGCCATGTGTCCTGAGGCATGTCACTGCATCTCACTGAGTATCAGTTTTCACATCCATGAAACAGAAATGATGAAACTTATCCCACAGGGTTAAATGTGATAATGAACACTGACATGCCATTTATATATATGTAAAATCTTAATAAAGTAGACTTTATAAGGATAAAGTATTATTATAGCACTTCATTACTTTCTAAACTTCAGTTAACTGTATTGAGGCAGACAGACCAACCCTCCCCCTTTTTTAAACAAGAATTAGTTTCTCATCAAACAATGTTCCATATAATTCATCTTTGATCCATCCCCTACCAAAGGAACTTCCTCGGAGGCCTTAATGTGTGCTCAGAAAGAGGCCAGCTGCCCTTCCGGTTAGCCAGTAGGAGATTCTGAATTAGGGCGAGGGCAAACAAAAAATAGTCTAATAGGCATCCTCCACCTATTCATATTGCTCTACAATGTTCACATGCAGTAACTCAACTAGTTCTCTAAAGATGCTTTGGGATGGACCAGGAAGCCTTTTTTCCCCATGGAAACCTACTGATATATATTTTTTCTTTTTATCAACAACGAAACTGAGGCTTGGAGGGTTTAAGTGATTTAGCTGTGTTCATGTACCTTGTTGGCAGCAGACCAGAGATTCAAGCTCACATCTCCTGCTTCCAAGTTCAATGTCTTCTTCATCTTACTACTGGACTTCTCTAAAGTGATGAGCACCCTTTGATGAGTCAGAGACACAGGGAGACTCTTCTAGTCTTGCCTGATGCATGGAGTGATATATACATAAGATTATGGATGATAAAATCACATAACTAGAAGCAACTTGAGAAATAACCATGCTTAGTTGCCTCATTTAGAAATGTGTTAACTTAGGCCCAGAGGAGAAAAGGAGTTCCCAAGATCACATGGTACAAAGGACAAGCAGAGACGCCAGAGCCCAGATGTCTTGGCCTCGTCTTCCATTGTCCTTTCTGCTGCACCCACTACCCTTTATCCAGTTACCAATCGATACTAAAAGCCTGGACTGAAATGTTTTTACTCTCCATGACCCTCCTGAAGGGGATAGGGCAAGTGGGATTATCACAAATGTAATTCAGGTTGCTCTAGGGAAGGATTCATTGGCAGGCACCTGCCATGCTAGCAGGAGTTGACCATTAGCTTGCTGTTGGTTGTCTGGATAAAAGGCTTGTCTCTGGGACACGTCTAAGAACATTGTGTATAGCATGGCTTCCATTTCAAAATCCGTTTTCTGGTCTGAAAACCTCAGGCCTTATTGTAACTTTCTTTCTCCACAATCCCATCTCACTCCCCCATACTCCTGACGCGGGCTCTGTTCCTCTCAGTTCCTCTGTGTGGGACGGCTGCCGCCTCACGTGAGGATTTTGTATCTGCTGTTCTGTTCACTCCCTTTCCTTGTTAATCCCTACTCACCTTTCAAATTTCAATTTACGTGTGCTCAGAGAGGCCTGCTTTGGTCCCCCTTGTCTAGGCCTGTTCCTTGGGTGTAAACTCTCATGGTAGACTTTTCTTCCACAAAACTCACCTCTGTCACTAACATTTACCTGTGATAACTAAAAGTTTTTGTCAACATTAAGGGTATCTGCGACACTTAGGTGTAATTTCCTGTATCTTTGAGATTGATGTACGCCAGTGGTTCATCCTGCCTAACAACTAACAGCTCTCCATGTCATCTGTGCCAGTCAGACGTCTGATCCCAATTACCTGCGGCAGGGAATGGCTAAAGTTGACCCAGGGCTATTACATGCTCTAGCAGCCATATGTTCTTTATGTGCCCCAATTATTGATCTTTAACCGATTTCCTTCTGATGGATGTGCTATCTCTGCATCGGGTGTGTACCTAGCCGCAGTGGTAGGGAACCTTTTTCCTGCCAAGGGCCATTTGGATATTTATAGCATCATTCGAGGGCCATACAAAATTATCAACTCAAAAAATCAGCTATGAAAAAAGCTCCTAGATTTATTGCATTTCGAGTCCCTCCTGCGGTTGCTTTGGCAGGGCCAGACCAGATGATTTCACGGGCCGGACGTTCCCCTCCCCTGACCTAGTCTGATAAAAAAGAGCTTGTCATTGTGACCAGTATGATTACCCCAAAGCCCTGAAGCTTCTTATTTGCTCCTGCCATCATCAGCTTGGACATCTCTGCCTACGCACAGTCCTATGGCGTGTCAAAGGTGTGGGAAGAGCTAGACGACTGAGGCTGTTTTTCCATCTTGGGCTTCTATTCATCAGAAACATATAATCTATATCTGTTTTCCCTGTAGGTGTGAAATTCAGATGATTGAAGACGATGCATATCAAGGCCTGCACCATCTCTCGACCTTGATACTGACAGGAAACCCTATCCAGAGGTTAGCCCCGGGAGCCTTTTCTGGACTGTCGAGCTTACAGACACTGGTGTTTGTGGAGACAAAACTAGCATCTCTAGAGGACTTCCCCATTGGGCATCTGAAAACCCTGAAGAAGCTTAACGTGGCTCACAATCTTATTGATTCCTTCAAGTTACCCAAATATTTTTCTAACTTGCCTAATCTGGAGCACTTGGACCTTTCCAATAACGAGATCCGAAATATTTACCATAAAGACTTGCAGGTTCTACATCAAATGCCCCCATTCAAACTCTCTTTAGACTTGTCTCTCAACCCTTTAGACTTTATCCAACCAGGTGCCTTTGAAAAAATGAAGCTCCATGAACTGACTCTGAGAAGTAATTTTGATAGTGCAGCCGTCATGAAAACTTGTATTAAAGGTCTGGCTGGCTTAGAGATCAATCGGTTAGTTCTGGGAGAATTTAGGAATGAAAGGGCCTTGGGAGAGTTCGACGGATCTGCCCTGGAGGGCCTGTGCAATTTGACCATTGAAGAATTCCGGATAGCACGCTTCGAAGAATTCCCAGATGATGATCTTGGCTTTTTAAATTGTTTGGCAGATGTTTCTACAATTTCTCTGGTGAGTCTGTATGAAGACAGGCTAGGCAGCTTTCCTAAAGATTTCAAATGGCAAAACTTAAAATTGACAAATTGCAAATTTAGACATTTTCCTGAATTGGAGCTCGCCTTTCTCAAAAAGTTTGTTTTCACTGCCAACAGAGGTATGACCAGTTTTACTACACTTACACTACCAGCCCTCGAGTTTCTAGACCTCAGTAGAAATAGCTTGAGTTTCAAGGGTTGCTGTTCTCAGAATGATTTTGGGACAACCAGACTGAAACACTTAGATCTGAGCTTCAATGATATTATTACCATGAGTTCAAACTTCTTGGGCTTAGAGCAACTAGAATATCTGGATTTCCAGCATTCCAATCTGAAACAGGCTAGTGATTTTTCAGTATTCCTGTCACTCAAAAACCTCCGTTACCTTGATATTTCTTATACTAACACCAGAGTTGTCTTCCAGGGCATCTTTAATGGCCTGGTCAGCCTCGAAGTCTTGAAAATGGCTGGCAATTATTTTCAGGATCACTTTCTTCCAAATATCTTTACAGATCTGACTAACGTGACCTCCCTGGACCTCTCTAAGTGTGAACTGGAGCGGGTGTCCCAGGAGGCATTCAGCTCACTCCTTAAACTTCAGGTGTTAAATATGAGCCATAACAACCTCTTGTCCTTGGATATGCTTCCTTATGCAAACCTCCAGCTCCAGGTTCTGGACTGCAGTTTTAATCGGATAGTGGCCGCCAAGGGGCAAGAACTGCACCATTTCCCAAGTAGCGTAACTTCCTTAAACCTCACGCAGAATGGCTTTGCTTGCCTTTGTGAACACGCGAGCTTCCTGCAGTGGGTCCAGGACCACAGGCACCTCTTGGTGGGAGCTGAACAGATGACATGCAAGAAACCTGTAGGCATGCAGGGTGTGCCCGTGCTCAGTTTTAGAAATGCCACCTGTCAGATGAGCAAGACTGCCATTAGCCTGTCGGTTATCTCTGCGGTCGTGGTGTCGGTCACAGCGGTTCTGGTCTATAAGTTCTATTTCCACCTGATGCTTCTGGCGGGCTGCAAGAAGTATGGCAAAGGTGAAAGCACCTACGATGCCTTTGTCATCTACTCGAGCCACGACGAGGACTGGGTGAGGAATGAGCTGGTGAAGAACCTGGAGGAGGGCGTGCCCCCCTTCCAGCTCTGCCTTCACTACAGAGACTTTGTTCCCGGCGTGGCCATCGCCGCCAACATCATCCAGGAGGGTTTCCACAAGAGCCGGAAGGTCATTGTCGTAGTGTCCCAGCACTTCATCCAGAGCCGCTGGTGCATCTTCGAGTATGAGATCGCCCAGACCTGGCAGTTCCTGAGCAGCCACGCGGGCATCATATTCATCGTCCTGCAGAAGGTGGAGAGGTCCCTGCTCCGGCAGCAGGTGGAGCTCTATCGCCTTCTCAGCAGGAACACCTACCTGGAGTGGGAGGACAGTGTCCTGGGGCGCCACATCTTCTGGAGACGGCTCAGGAAGGCCTTGCTGGACGGGAAACCCTGGAGCCCAGAAGGGACAGCGGACGCGGAAAGCAGCCAGCAGGAAGCGGCAACCTCCATGTGAGGCGCACGCTCCTCGGGCTGCTTTTCCAGGGGACCCAAGGCTCGGTCAGCTGAGGAGCATTGAAGGCCGCCGCACAGCAGGCCTGCGCCGGGGGGGCGGTTCGGCGGTACGCGGGGTGCACAGGGCCGCCGATCTCGTGGGGTTGGCGCAGGGGGAATGCCTACTGTGCCAAGATGCAGGACCTCCAGGCGGATGCCTCTGCCAGCCCAGCTAAGGCACTCGGGACCGGGAAAGTCCAGTCCACCCTTACCCCATGGAATTAAATCACAACGAAGAGACTGGCCCAGCCGCATCAGTCAAGGACGCAATGCTTCTCCTGAGCCTTTTGAATGGCGAGCACCTCGTATTTTACATTTTGGTCACCTTAAAACAAAGCAGTCCTGGTAGTTTCAACTAAACTGGGCCTTTGCTCACTTTTCGCCCCCCTACAATTTAAGCTCTCTGTGATGGCTCAGAAGGCTTCTGAGTCAGATCCCCCCTCCACTTTCAGTCAGTTTCCTTACAAAGATGAAAACCTTGCACCAAGTTCCCAAGGAAACCTGATTGACACGTATTTACAAACATCCTGGTCTTTTTTTTTTTTAATCATCAATCAAGGAGCAAGGATATTTTTTCCATTGATTTCCAGAGTGGAAGGTAGTGGGGAAGGGAAGAGAGAGAGAGAAACATTGATGTGAGGGAGACACATCAATTGGCTGCCTCCCACATGTGCTCCCAGCAGGGGCGGGGGTCAAATCTATCATCCAGGTACATGTCCTTGACTGGGAATCGAACCAAGACCCTCTAGTGCACAGGCCTATGCTCCAGCCACTGAGCCATGCCATCCAGGGCCATCCCGGTCATTTTTTAGCATGTTTTAATAGTCCCTGATATATTTTTGTTTTTGTAAATTTAGTTCACATTTTATATCTTCTCTATAAACCTTGATCATAAATAAGGTTGTTAGAGACATGCTGGAAATATCCATATTTAACCACTACTATCTTTCAAGTAAATGTGTAAAATGCACTCTGTCACTTTGTCACATGATGTCATCCTAAATTTATTACCTACTAAGTTATGACTGTCATAAAGGTAACATTAAAATAATTTGGTTGAAAGTGGCACTTATTGTAACAGGGGGAGAGAAGCCCCACTTCCCGGTCTCATAATGAGCAATTTGGGCTAGAGGAGGGGCAGGAGGTGGGATGGCCTCGGGAGCGCAGCTCTTCTTGATGATCCCAGGATCATATGGGCTGATACAGCCAGGGTGGCCACAGGACAAGAGCTGATGCAAAGGTTTCTTCTGCATCAAATGAATGTTGTTTGATGAAACACTGAATCCCCGAGGGGACTGAAATGATTCAAGCTGAGGAGCATGCATTGCTTCTTCCTATGACCACATTTACAAAAGAGTATATGTTCTCATTGAGAAAATACGTCCCTGAGGTTAATGTGGGTCACGGTAAGGGGAGTTCTCAGAAAAGCACACTCACCCAGGTCCCCAGGAATGGAGCATTCAAAGAAAGCAACGAGGGCATTTGGAAAATACAGTTGTCAAACTGGAAATATGGCCTCAGGCAGGAATGCATTTGTGACTGAGTCAGAGTGTATTTTGGTGTGAGCGTGGTTGGAGTTGCTGAAAGTGCCTGGGTGTGGCTTTAGGTCTTAGTGTGCTAGTGAAAGCAGATATGTGTAATTGTGCACATACCTCTCTGTGTTCTTGGCTGTGTCTGTGTGTCTGAAGAGCATGTGTGTGTGTGATCATGTCTGCATGGAGGAGAGTGATTATACTCAAGGGGGAGAGCGTGCATTTGATGTGGATGTCTACAGCTGTTTGGGTTCTGTCCTCTTGCTCTTGTACGTGACTGCTTATGTACAAGGGCCTGTGTTAGACTCAGAGTAGTGTGAAGGTCTGTTTTTTGTGTGTCCCGGCTACATGTGAGTGTGCTCATGCTCATATTTGAGTATGTGTTCTGCATATGTGTTTTAGTTTAATCAAATATATAAGAGTCCAAGGGGGAAAATAAAAATACGACCGGAGTGGTTCCTGGATACTGGCGTCCTTCCTATCGGCCCCTCCTCCCAGCTGGGAATTCTGAAAGTTGAGGGTGAGGCAGACAAGGAAGGAAAGAAATGATACGACAGAAGCAGAAGGGGACCAAAGAGGACAGTCGGGCCTAGGAACAGGCTTTTGAGTCCCTTTAAGTTCCAAAGGGTAGAATAAAGAGAAATTAATATTATTAGAAAGCCTTAAATTTGTATAATACCCTACAAATTAGAACATATTGACACAGTTATAACCACCTTTGAATCTTTTTTTTATCCAGGCGAAGTAGCAGTCTAAGAATTAGATTCCCTGTTTTACTGATGTGAAACCTGATGGTCAAGGGAGTAAATTTATTGTCAGGTGGCCACAGATTTAACGAGTGGCCTGCTCTTGGGCCTCCGGCCCCCTAGGGGCAGCTCTCTTTCCGCTACACTCTGCTGTTTCAGCTAAAAGCTGGCAAAGGAGAAGTGAAACCCCGGCAGTTCTCTGTGTGGCTGGCACTTGTCAAGGGTTTTTCACTGAAACCATGAATCATTGGGCAAATGCATATGCATACACATTATATATATGGAATGCTTTATTTATAACACATTTCTTTCCGTGAAGGACGTGAGGGAGATTCAACCATAGTGTCCATGGGCAATAAGTTTAATCAGTGAGAACTAGAAAATCTGAACAAAGGACAAAAAGGGGAAAGAAAGACCAAGGTAGCTTTAGTGTATTGTTTCCTGTCCTAACTTCAGAGAGAGAGAGTTTTGGATAGTTGGATAGTGCGGCTTTTGGAAAAAGCCAGAACTCACATTCCCTATTTCCCATGTGTGCCTTGGGGTTCACTTCTCTGTGAATCTACATAACTCAAATATAAAAAGAGGGCAGACTATCACTCTGTAAATCTGTTGTTGTAAGTATTTAAAATAATAGATGTTTAACGCAAGTTACACGATTTGTACCGGTAAGCAGTCCTTTGGGACTTCATAAAGAAGCCACAGCAGGAAATACTGAGCAGTCTTTTCAATCACCTCACTTTAGCCACTGCTGTTTTCCCCTCCTGTGCGACCACAGGAGGCCCATCACTGTGATTATTTTCTTTCTGACTTGGCCTCCGCCCATGGGGCTGTCAGAACCCCAGCCTCTTTCTGAACCATAGTAGCTTCTCTAGAAACCACCAACAGGGGCCGAGAGGTTCTCACAGGAACTCACAGGAGTCCTCACAAGAACTGCAGAGCTCTGTGAGGACAGGGCGCACCTTTGCTTCTCCAGCCCTGAGCTCCTTGGCCCGCAGATAACACACGGCAGCCGTTTATTTGGAGAGTTGATGAGTTAACGAAGAACCATCTCTACAGAAAATGCTGTCCTTTGTGCTTCCCAGGAAGGCTCCCAAGGCCCACACCTCTGTAGTTCCGGGGCTCTTGACTTTCAGGGCTATTCCTCATTCCTGTTGTTGTCTGCGTGGGTTTTCTCAACCATTTTCTCCACGTGATTCCATAACTCCAAGTATTTCAAAAGTTAGTTTGCAGGAGGGGAGGAGAGGACTTCCCCTACAATAGTTATCTTGGACAGTTATTTTTAGGTCCTGTTCTCCCGCTCTCTGTATGATATCTACTTTAAATTCCCACACCATGCCTACGAGATGGGCACCAGTAATATCAGTGTGGCCATTCATTAGGAAACTGGGACTGTGAGTAACCTATTCGAAGTCACACAGGTAGTCAATGGCAGAGCTGGCATTTAAACTCAGTCTCTGATGTTAGCAGCCAACTATGCTAGACGGTTTCTCTAACGCCTTCCCCCATTTCATACACAGGTTGGAATGTGACTGCTCTCTGTTTTGATTTTTCCGTTGTTGTAGCCCAGGCTCAACATCAGAATCAGGTATGATGCTTGAACCGCAGGATGGGTGTCAGGCTGAAGGACGAGCTGTGGAAGAGACATCAGGCACCTGAAACCAACTGTTTTCTCCCACAGTGATGGACTAAGCCTCTCCCACTTCAACTATCTTTTCCGATGGAGTAAATTCCTTTCCATGAAGCTCCAGTGCAAACAGGCCCATCCAGACAGGCCCAGCTATTTCTGCATTTATATAGCAATGACCCATCGTTCCTCACTCGGAGATCCTTTCTGACACATGGTTTTAAATGAGGCTCTTCTTTCCAGTGCCTTCATTAAATGGCAATGACGGGTCACTGGACACCAACTCAGGAAGGAGGCTTAGCCGACGTAGTCTGAGGACATCAGCTTTAGCACCTTCACACAGGATTCAAGTTGGACTGTCTGGGAGAGGAGCAACAGAGCCTGCCCCTTGGACTGCGTTTCCAGCTGGCAGCATTCACCTCCCTTCTCTTCTCCTGGCCACAGCCTAGTACCTAGAATGCTAATAGTCTATTTTTCTAGTTGAAGAGGAATATAGATGATTTGAAAATCAGGAGTGGCCGGAAAGTTTGCTTTTATTTTCTTCCCGTGGAAGATTCTAGTCGCCGTTACTAAATATAGGGGGTACAGAATTTTAAAAATTCTATATGGACTTTTGTGTACATGCTAGTCTAGCAGATGTGTATAGCAGACTTGGATTTGCATTCCGGCAAATTTCATAATCCCCCTGATTTCAGTTTGTTTTCTTGAATAGAGGGGCTAAATCTTTCCTGTCCTACTAGGCTACTATACAGATAAAATCCAGAGTGAATGTGAGACACAGCACAGCTCTAAATTTAGCTGCTTGAAGGGGCTGCCTTAAGAACAGGATGAGTGGACAGAGAAACCTGGAATCCTAAAAGTCTCTAGGGCAGCAGTTCTCATAGCCATAGTCAGACTCAGGGATCTGACTCCCAAGGAGGAGGAATGGAAAGAGAAGGAAGGGTCCCAGATGTGAAACACATACTGAATGGCCAGGCACTGCCGCTGGAAATGACAAAGGCCCAAGGCCCGACTCTGTTCATTTATAACGGACCAGAGCCTTGGTGCAGTGGACAGTGAACTCCTGGGAGGGCGCA